AGGTATGGCATACAAAAGGCCTTAATTCCAAACGCATTAACAATAAAGAAACAAACAACAAGCAGCAGGTCCTTCAAATCGGAGCAAGTTAGCCCCTCGCATCGCTAAGGATGACTCACAAAATATCATGTAAAGAAATACCCTTCCATACTGGAAACCCAGCAAACCAAAAGCTATAGGAAACACAACAGGCGAGCCCACAACCCAGGTTGCCACCTGAGCCGTTGCCCAATCCTGCGTAACAATTTGTACTAACTCAAGCAACCATGTACAGAAAAGAAAAACCCTGAACCCTTGGGAAGCAGGGGGTATTTGGTGGGGCCCTCAAGGAGAGCCCGAGCTCGATGCGGAGTCTGCCCTGATTGCCGGCATTGGTGGCGGAAATTAGGTTCCATAAGCGTAAGGAGATATAATAATGATAATAATAAGGACTGCGTTGCCGTTACAACCACAGCGAAAGAAAAAACCACACCAAGTTTTTCGCTGAGCCCCCACCTCATTGGTCAACAACCAAATCTTTACGCTTCCCCACCCACTTTACAGACTTTTCATCAACAAATCATCCTCTATCATTTGTTTTCCATCACCTTTTATCAACTGAGTCCTTCCCCCATCATCTCTGATGCCCCCACGGGCTAGAGGCAGAGGGAGGGGTGCTGCTAACCCCCTGGCACACCCATTCCAACCCCACCAGAGTACCCCAGCTCCAACCACGCCTGGAGACACCCACATGGATGAAGACATCCCTTCTCCTGTGGATACAGTCGAGCCTCCCGCTACTCCAAACCAGCCTACACCTGGCTCTGCTCAGTGGTCCCGATGGGAACCGGACAACCCTGACAGAGACACTACCTTCAACACCAAACTACGAGTCAACTACCTTGAGGACTCCTTCCAATCACTCATCAACCACCTCAGTATTGTCCAGCAAAGACACATCAGTGACACTGCTTTCTTGAAAGGGCAAATTGACGAACTCAACCAACAAATTTCATACCTACAAGACCAGCTTCAACAGTAAGCCTCCAACCCCGCTCCCCCACCCCCAACCCTACCAAACCCCCCACCTCAGCAAACCTGGGCCCAGAGGACAGCCAAAGCACTCCCTGCCCGCCCCTCTACCACTACACCAAACAGAACTTCACCAGCTGAAGTTTTGACCAAACGCGACCGTAGCATTGTTATTGAATGAGATGGCACTGCCCCCCCAGATGACACCAACCACCTCCACATTCGCGATGCTGTCAACACAGCAATCAAAAAACAGATTATCTCAACTATTGAGTTCACGCCTAACCACCATGTCCTCCTCATTACCAAGGATAACACTCCTGCCTCCACTGTCCTCAAGAACCATCGCTTTGTTATTGAGGAAGCTATCAGAGCTACCATTCCTGCCCCCTCTGGCCTCAGAAAAGATGAAGTCTGGCATAAGGTCATCATCCACGGCATCCCAACCATCACCACCTTCCCCACAGTCCAGGCAGAGATTGAAGCTTTCAACCCTGGCACCCACCTCCCCCACCCTCCCAGATGGCTCACCACTGAAGCCCAACGCCAGAACAAGGCTGCATCAGCCATGGTTCTCACGATTGCAGGCAAAGACCCCACAGACAAAGCCCTCAGCAGAGGCCTCTCCCTCTTTGGCAGGAAGTTTAAGGTGCAACGTTACCTCACCTTTGGTCCTGACACCCAATGCTCTAGATGCTTGAAGTTTGGCCACCACCCAACCCAATGCACCAAGACCCCACACTGCGTGATCTGTTCACAGGAACATCCAGCCCACCTCCATACTTGCGGAAGATCAGACTGCCCTACCAAGGGCAAGCCATGCCTTCACACCACAATCCTCTGCCTCAACTATGGCAACAATCACCTCGTGACCTCTAAGGATTGTCCTACCTACCTACACGCACACCAGGCGGCAACTGATAGGAGGAGCAGGGCTGTTTAGGTTTTATTACTTTGTTTTTCCTTTATCTGTTAGGCTTTAGGCGGGGAGGAGGATTTCATTATTTGCGCTTTGGCCGGGGTGCCCAACGAAAAGTATGACACTATCATGTAGTAAGAGACGGATTCATAGCCCTGGTACTTGAGAGTACCCTGATGTATGTAGTGCCGCTTCATAGCCTTTGGCTCCATAACCGAGATAATGACATATAATAATAATAATAATAATAATCCACTCTGTCCCACTACAGAAAGGACTTAGCAATTTTTGCATTTTTGACTCTGTTATGCCTATCCATCCTACCCACTATAGGACTACTACCATTCCAGTCCCACTGAATGGTAGTAGTCCTTTGAACTCTTCACTGGGGTCTGACCCACACACCCCTCCTGCCAGACTCCCTCCTGCTCCTGACATGTCTATTCATAAGAATAGAGATCACTCCAGATTCAGGCATTCACCTATCCCTACCTCCTCCTCTAGTCTCTTACAAGAACTCTGCAGCTCCTCTCTACCCCCTCCTACCTCTGCCCAAAGACCTCCTCCCTCTATTAGCTCTTCTCAAAGGCCTGGTTTCTTGTCCTTTGAAGAGTTTATTTTGGACCTGATTGAGCAAATTGCAAAACTTAAGCATCACTATGATACTGAAGAACAGGACTTTCTTAACCAAGTGGTATCTAAGATCAGCACCTTTGCTGACAAGAATACTACTTCTGAATCCTCCTCCCACCTTGCTGCTATTCACTCTGACCTTGAAGAGAGACTCAACAAGCAAGAAAAGACCTTGGAGCATATATTGACAACATTGGCGAAGCTTTCTGCTCCAGCTCCAGCTTTACCAGCTCCTGCTCCTACTTCTAAGACATGGGCTAACATTGTGCAACAGGAAAAACCTACCACATCTCCTCCAGTTAGTCAGTCCAAATCTGCTAAGAGGCATTCTCATCCTACTCCACAGCCAGAGAGAACTCTGATACTCAAACCTACCCACCCACCTACTACCTTCCACCATCTTCAGATCAGAGATTCTATCAACTCTGCCCTCCTAAAGGCCAAAGTCGATATCACTGTTGTCCTTGTTAGACTCTCAGTCAACAACAATATTGTTATTGAGGTCAAACCAGGCAATACTGCAGCAGAGTTGAAGGAGCAGGAAGCCCTTTGGACCTCTTTGATTCCTGGCTTGCAAGAGGTGGTAGTGAGAGAAAGATAGTATAAGCTAGTTGCCCATTCTGTTGCTACTGATCTATTTGTAGCAGAAAATGAGGAGAACCAAATGGCAGCCTTCAGAGAAGACCTTGAAACATATAATACTAACCTTCAGTTGGCAGCTGCTCCAAGATGGTTAACCAAACAAGAATCTAGAGTTGGGAAGTTGCACTCCTCCCTTGTCCTTTCCTTCAAGTCTCAAAAAGAACTCACACATGCACTGAGAAACAGATTGATAATTGCAGGAACCCCAGTCAGAACTTCAGAGTTTGTTGATACCAGACCCTCAACACAGTACAGGAACTGCCAGAAGTTTGGACATCATCAGAAGGTCTGCAGACATGATACAAGATGTCAACTCTGTGCTAGTGAACACTCAACCAGACTACACAAGTGTGCAACCTGCCAGGCCAATAAGGAATATCCCCATACCCTACTTAAGTGTGCTAACTGTGAGAGAACCCACAAGTCTACTGATCAGAGGTGTACAGTTTATAGGAACCTTATCAGGAAACCTGAACTCCCTGCTACTGATAATCCCTCTCATTCTTTATGAGAGGCAAACCAATCTCTATTGTTCAGCACAATTGTGCAAAGACTTATGAAGTATTGACCTCACTCCTACACTATACTAATGGCACAGCAGATATTATTCTCATTCAAGACCCCTGGTTGGCATCTGATGGCACTCCTTACTCTCACCCCTTCTTTGATTCTATTCTACCTGATACTGCTAATGGTGAAAAGCCTAGAACTACTACCTATATAAGCAAATCCAGACTGGATATCTTTGTTCTTATAGAGCTGATCTCCTTCCCCACCTTGATGGTGATATACTACCACTCCAGATACTTGCTGGAACAGAGAAGTTTACCCTTTAGAATATTTATAATGAAAGAAGAAAACTGACACCAGACTCTAGACCAGTCTATACTATAGATAGAACTCTACAATACCTACAACTACCTCCATCCTCAATCCTCTGTGGTGACTTCAATGCTCATCACAGTTGGTGGAACTCTGGAGTTGAACAACAAATCAGAGGTGACATCCTAGTAGACTGGTTTAGAGCTAACAGATGTGATCTAGTGAACTATCCAGATACCCCTACATACAACTACAGACATGGGAATGGCACTTCAATTTTGGACTTAACATTGGCTACACCTGACATCTTTGAAAGACTTATTGACTGGGCAGTAGATCAGGATGCACATATTGGAAGTGATCATGAAGTGGTAAGATTCTCTCTGGTATTGAATACTGACAACTTAGTTCCAAGTCCTATGAGCAACAAATTCAACTGGAAGGTAGCAGACTAGGAGTCTTTTCAGAAAACACTTCAGGAATTAATGGCTAAGTCTTCCCCTACATTTACTCTTCTCATTAATGATGGTACAGCTAAATCCTTAGACCAGGCTGCATCTATTCTGACAGACTCAATCCACCAGTCCCTCTCTCTCAATGTTCCTATTACCAAACCTTGCTCTAGATCAAAGAGGTGGTGGAGTGATGAACTTGCCAGCATAAGGACTGAGATGGCCAAATGCTCTCCAGACTTGACACTGACTTCACTAACTACAAAAGATCTAGGAACAAATACTTTAGGAAAATCAGAGACTGCAAAGCTGCGTGCTGGCAGAGTTTCCTCAATACTGCTAGAGGTCAGGATATCTTCACTGCAGTTAATTATACTTGACCAACTAAGTCCCTCAAAACTCCTCCCCTCTATTTTGACCAACAGTGTGCTACTGACTTTGATAGTAAGTACATGATGTTCAGAGAAGCCATGTTCCCTAATCCACCTGCAAGCAAAACAACTTTCGGCCATGAGGACACAGAAGTAGATAAGTGCATTCCCTGGTATGATATTACTGACAATGAGGTAAAAGATGCAATCTTCAAATCTGCACCTCACAAGGCTCCAGGACCTGATGGTATTAACTTTCTTTGTTTGAGGCAAGTGTATCATGCAATTCCTATTCCTCTTGTTAAGTTATTTCAAGCTGTACTGAAGACAGGTTATTATCCCCAATGCTGGAAAGAGGCAACTGGAGCCATAATCAGGAAACCTAACAAAGCAGACTATACTACCCCCAAAGCCTATAGACCTGTCTCTCTGCTAAACTGCTTAGGAAAGATTTCAGAAAAGATGATGGCCAACAGACTAGCTTACATTGCGGAAACTAAAGGTCTGCTACACTCAGAGCAAATGGGAGGAAGGAAAGGAAGAAGTGCAGTGGATGCAGTGATGGCATTAACACATGATATTCAGCAGGCCAAGTTGAATGGTAAAGTCCTTTCTGCCCTCTTTGTTGATGTTAAAGGTGCATTTGACCATGTTAGCAAAACACAACTACTCTTGGTGCTGCAGTCTTTAGGATTTCCTCCACAAGTTCTTATCTGGACAGACCACTTCCTCTCCAACAGGCAACTGGGGTTAGCTTTTGATGGACAAAGACAATCTCTCCTTCCAGTCAACACAGGAATTCCCCAAGGCTCTCCCATTTCACCAATCCTCTTTCTATTTTACTTGACAAACTTGTTCAATGACCTGGAACCAGGAGTTTTGACTCCACAGCTAAGATCCCCTTCCTTTATTGATGATATTGCCTTTATAGTCACAGGCCCCTCTGCGCAGGCTAACTCCAAGGCATTGGAGGTAGTAGCCAGAAGGGCCTGGCATTGGAGGTAGTAGCCAGAAGGGCCTGGCATTGGGCACGTGACAATGTAATAGTTTTCAATGATCCCAAGACAGAACTGATGCACTTTCACAACAAAACAAGGGACTTTAGTACCAACTCCCCTGTCACTCTTCCTCATGGCACTGTTGTCTACCCTTCTCAGCATCTCAGATGGCTAGGAGTTTGGCTTGACAGGAAGCTTTTGTTTAACTTCCATGTTCAGAAGAAGATATCAACGGCAACTAGGGCACTTAACATGATTTCTAGG